ATTATTCAATTATTCAGGCTTTTCTTTTTTCTCCTCTTAATTTTTCAGTTTAAATAATTTCTTTTGCCCTATCTTTGGAAAACAGAGAACATGCCCATAAAAAACTACCTTCTTTTCTTACCTGTTTTAAAATCTTTGCTAATTTTATATCTCTATCATTCTAGATCTCTTTCTCTTAATAGATAAATCATATTTTCCTATTTCTTTGCATGACTAACAATTTCTGGTAGGATGCTGGGCACTAATAATTTTACATTATTGAGCACATTATCTTCTGTTAAACAAAGATGCAGAGGTTTATTTTTCTGTAGTTGTTGCTGTGGGAGCAGATAATTTATTTGTAGATCATTGTGATATTTTCAGGTTTGTTCTTATGCTTTTTTATGATTCAGAAAGTTGTATGAATTGAATGAAATGATTCAATATCACAAAGTTGTATTTCTATTCACTAGTGGTAAGGAAGCAGAATGTAAATCTAATAAAAAAAATATGTATGTTAATTTGTTTGGGACAGCAGATACCTAGTCTTACACATGTGTAGACAGAAACACACGAACACTCCTTCTGAATTCATTCTCAGTCACGTGTTAGAGCAACTCGAGACTAACAGCTCGGGAAAAGATGGCCCTCTCCAGTGTGACACAATTAAGTTGTTTGGGGCTGATGGGAAATATTTCTCCCATCAGACTTAGCTCTGCCACTTACCAACTGTGTGTCCTGGTAAGATTGCGTAAACGAAGTTTCACTGTTTTCGTCAGAAAAATAGCTGAACTTTTCACAAGTTCAGTGAAAATATAAATGTCAAAACTAAGAAAACACTTTTCACAAGTTCAGTGAAAATATAAATGGTAAAGCTTAGAAAGCCTGGGAACTATTGTAGTCTGCTTTTCTATTGCTAACAACTATCACAAACGTGTGAAGAATAGAGCTTTATTTAGTTCGTGGTTTTGGAGGTCCAAGGTCAAAGGCATCATCTGGTGAGGGTCTTCTGCTGGCGAAGGCTCTCTGTGAGGTCCCGAGGAGGCACAGGTGTCTCAGGGGAGAGCAAGACCAGGCATGTCTTAGTGCTCATGTGACTTTATTCCTACCTTATTCCTTCTCCTTATAAACCCACCGGGATTCAGTTATGGGGACCCCACCCTGATGGCTTTACTTCTAATTACCTCCCCAAAACCTCACCTTCTAACATTGTATAAACAAATTAAGTTTTTACTCTCTTAGTCCTTTTACAACCAAATTTCAACATGAATTATTGGGAAGCATGTTCAAACCATAGCAGAAACCTAAATAATTAATGCTCTAAAACTTTAAGTATACTTGTTACTCTACTTCACAAAGTAAACCATCTTTATGCCTAACGGGATGACTGACTATAATTTCAATCCCTGGGACTGGGTGAGCTAGACAATGCCTCCCTTCTTCACTCCACCCCCACCCCCATATTTAGCGGGATGGTTGTACTGGAAGGTGTGAAGCAACAACAACCCACAGATCTTCAGAGTATTTTTTTTGTTCAGGGAAGTTGGAGATCCTCAGGCAAGCATATCCTTCTTTCTATTGATGGCCCTGGCAGTAAACTGAGGTCTTGGGTCATCGGAAAATTCATGACATATATTTCTATGCAAAAATGCATCATGGGACCAGCAGATGGTGTAGCGGTTATGTCACCAGACTTCCATCCACATGGCTGACTACAGTTTGCATCCCAGACCCAGTGACTTGAAAATCACACCAGGCACATGTGCATGTGTACCCAAGATCCTGGAAGGACAATGGAAGAAAAGGGGTTGCAGTGTAGCCATCCCGCAGAGAGGGAGGTGATTTCTCACTTTTCCTCTGTGTCTGCCTCTCCAGTGAGAACCTGCAGTCTAAGGCAAAAACTCTTTAAAAAAAAAATACTTTGTGACTTTTCCGATGATCCAATAGATTAAGAGAAAGGCCAGGCTCTCCGAAGGTTAAGTAAACGAGACCCTGTTTTGCCTAACATGCCGTTTATCTGGTCACACAGGTGTTTCAGGACCTTTCTTTCTTTCACCTGGAGTTTGATAACACAAGGTTGCCCGTATCAGAACCTAAAGTTAGGTCAATATTTAACTCCTCTGCAAATATAGCTACTAGATCAGAAACTTCCAAGTCTGGTCTTTTTATTTTGGAATGACTAGAGTTTCAGAGTCTAAGTTGAATCAATGTTATGTAATGCTCTGCTGAATTCAGGAGATGTGGAATTATTCTTCAATGAGAGCTCACCTCAGTTTTCAGTGCCATGAGGTACCTGTGGCAGGCTGCCAGGACTCTACCAGAATTTACCAGGTCACCTTACTGCCTACAATCCTGAGCAGAAAGGAACAAGAGAGACTGGTGGGAAGCAGGGTTTAGGTGGTGGCTCCAATCTAACCCCCATAACTGGGACTCTCCTAGGTATCCAGAACTGGATCCTAGGGATCCCTTGAGGTATTCCAGCATCCTGTAATGTGTATGTGGGAGCCTGGGCAACATTGTGTAAATTTTACTACCCCCTGAAGTATCATATGGCTGCAGATGGCTTGTGAGACCATGATCACCACCAGGGACTAAACTGAAGAACACCCATTAGAATGAATACTCTACCAACATGAAATGATGAATTGAAAAATTGCTTTTAAATAATTTGGTAAGTAGAGGCAAAAGAAATGATTAAAAACACACATTTAAAAAACTGTCAAAATATTCATATTATGCCTCAGGACCATCCAAATCTCATGGTGAACATTATAGCCAAGGATTAGATATTTGGTATCTAAACTTTCCAAGACAGAAATCAGGATTCAGTCATCTCCCCTGGTTATAGGTAATGCTAATTGCTATAGCCCTGAGATCAGATCTCAGTGGCTTAAACACAATAGAAATGTATTTCTTGTTGATGTAAAATCTCAAATGAGTGTTTGTGACGAATGAGTGGCTTTCCTCTAAGCAGAGAGCCCAGGCTTCTTCCATCCTGTGGCTCTACCAGCCTTAACAGATGGCGTTCAAGGTTACTATGCTTCTCTGTATTGAGCAAAAAAAGGGGAAGCATGTTGAGGACCTTGTGTGGGTTTTATGAATAGGCTGGAGCTAGTGCACATCCATACATTCCACATCTCATTAGCCAGAAGTTAGTCACACGCCCAACCTCTCTGCCAAGGATGTTGGGGAATGGTACCTGGTTCTATTCCTTCTAGGGATATACTCTAGTCTCTGTTTTAGAATTTGGAGGCATTAGGTCTTAATTCTGTAGAATAAAAGCCACTTTAATTATGGACTAAATTTTGTAGCGTCAAAAATGTCAATTTAGAATTTATGTGTGAATTATTTGGTATTATATATGAAATGTAAATTATATCCTCATACACCCTTGAATGAACGTTGGCTCTTGTAGGATATGACTGGAGGATCAATAGGGGATTACCATGACAAAATACTGAAGATGTGCCAGACTTCAGTTCCTAGAAGCTTCTAGATTATTGGTTTTGTTTTCAGTCTTTTGAGTAATAAATCCTTCAGAAAAGCAGTTTTTACTGTAAAATTGTACAGCAACTATTACTGATTTTTGTATGCAAAACAAATTGCCTTTTTCTTCTTCTTTTGAATTTTTCAGAGCGCATATGGGCTTACTGGAGAGCGGAAAAGAGAGAGAGAGAAAGGAAGCAAGAAACTACCTCCGTGGGGCGTGATCACACCTCAATCCCTTCTCCATTTGTCCCTCCTTTAGAGATTTTAGGCATGAATGCACACACATCCAAGCCATCAGCTATTTGGGATCCGGCACCATGCCACCAACTGCCTCCATTGTAGTCTTTTTAAAATTTGCTCTAAGTAATGTGTCACAAACTGAAAACCTTCTAGTTTCTATCAAACGCTTCTCTTTCAGATGTTTTTTTCCTAGACCATTTCCTTTTTCCAAACTGAATTTCATTTTTCTGTCTTATTCTTAATTTCATCTGATAGTGGGATCATTGATCCCATCTGTAAGCTGCTGGCAGTAACCCTATGGTGAAGCCAAGTTGACTTCATCTTGGGCTAATCAGCCATCTTGACTGATCTGACCTCTGCATATCCACAAGTTGCTTGGGTGCGTTCCCATGGCTGGAATGTCACCTAAGGCATTATAATAAATGTACCTATTATCCTTATCCAGGGATAAGGACATAGTTAAAAATCAGTGAAAATACGGTATTGCCACATCAAAGCTTCTATGCACTCCTCAAATGCTTCTGCCTCCACTACACACTCCACCCTCGCTGACTGTATAAACACATCCTTTGGGAATGAAGGGTACAGAGATCCAGTTGTCTGCAGGCTGCCCAAGAGCTTACTTCTGTTGGTAAGTTTCCTCATTTAGCTCTTAACCAACAAGCTGGCCTTGTGTGCCTCATTCTTTGGTCTCTCCACACCTTCTAAATATGGAGGTCATTTCATTTAGACAAACTCACTTCCGATGACCTCCATTTCTTTTTGGTAGTTTGCTTATTCCTTTCCCCATGTTATTGTTCAAAATAAATTGGTTCTCTGGACTCCCAAAATAAAATGTCAGCTGCTTTTCTAAAAGGAGGCAACTTTCTTGAAAGATTGCTTCAATTTCAGTATTTTCACTGTTTCTGAAGGTGAGGCAAGGTTATACAAAAACTGCGTGAGCTGGTAAGCTGTTAGAATGTGTTTTCAAGACTGCTGTTATCAAATATAAGAAAACAGTTTAGCTTCACACATTCCCACAGATCTTCGCAGAGAATTGTAAACTAAAACAAGGGTAGGCTAAGACCTCAACCACAATGAAATTATGGTGATTCTAAGCACTATGTAACCACCTTGGAAGAGAACTTTCATGTCTACCCCTTTCTCATCTTCCTACTCATGCTGTGGAAAACTTTAACTACTCTCTTAATCTTGGTTTAGCTATGATTAAAATTAGAAATGCATCCTTGGAACCTTCTCTCTTTCCATGCCACTTTTCCATGGTGTGGCTCAAAAAGATAAGGTTCGCCTATAAAAGGACTGTTCTGTGCTATCTGATTTTGTGCGGGACCTGACGGAACTGCCAAGGTGAGTCAGGAACGTTTTTATGACTAGTTGATTATAATTGATCCATTTTCCCCCAGAGGTCTAACTGAACTTGTATTATGCCAATCTTTCAAAAATCTCTTTCGCTGGACTCAATCATGCTTTTAACTTTGTGTAGATGCTACTCCTCTGGATACTTCCATTGCTGCTGGGAGCAGCAACAGGTAAGAAACTTTATTTATGTGGTACTGGGAAAGACTGACTGTTCCGTGCTTTCAAGAAAAACTATGACCGTTGAATTCAAACCACGAAAGAGTAAAGTGAAGACAACGTGTGATTAAAAGCGTAAGTGCTTGGAGTACAATTGCCAGATAACGCGTAAGGTGACCAGTAAGTACAAATTGTAGGTAAACAAAAAAGTTACTATAAACAACAAATATGATATATCTGTACTAAAAATATTCATTGTGCATCTGAAATTCAAATTTAACCTGTATTTTATTTCCCTTGAAGTCAAGGGAAGGATTGGAAATTTGGCTCTACTACCTATAACCTTAGAGTCTTGAGCAAAATCCTTAACCTGTCTATGCTTCTATATCTTTGTCTGTGAAATGAGGACAATAACATCAGTCTTCTCACAGGACTAGTATGAAATTCAGGGAAGACACGTAAATCATCTTGCCTAGCACCTGGCGTATTGTAAGATTTCAAGAAATGCAGTCCCCAAACAGCTACTACTCTTACTCCTACTATTAATCTGGACTTTATCCTCCTCAACAACCCTACTTTTTAATTGCTCCATTATAGAGGAATATTCATGACTAGCATTGTGTCAAACTATGGATTTCTCTTCTTGATTGTTCATGAGCAGCTTCTTCATCACAGGAATCCGAGATACCTCTCAAACCTAAGTCAGATACCTAAGTACTCAGCCAGAATAGAGGTACAGTTTCAACTCTTGTATGACACTCAGCCTCTTCACAAAATGCCCACAGCCAGATAGCAGCTATAGCAGTTGAAAACTCCACCCCTTCACCAAGGGCTGAGGACACAGAGCTGCTTCTTTCTTGGACATCAGTGGCCCAAAGGCACCTTGGCTGAGTCCCTAAACCTCCAGCATGGGGCTGCGCAGACACACGCGGGGAGTGAGGTTGTCTCCTAAGGAATCAAAATGAAGAGTAGCAGCCTGTCTTTAACAGAGGTGTTTTTTTCCAACTGTTTTGGGAGTGTGTGGTGAGAATGGTATTTAGAAAGTAGATAAAGAAAATCTGTCACAAAATGTAATTTAGCCCTTATTTTGACATTTAAAAGAGCATTCTGGTTAAACTTTCTTTGAAATACCTCTGGGTGATTGATTTCAGGAAAAGAAGTCTGCTTCCCAAGACTCGGCTGCTTCAGCGATGATGCCCCATGGGCAGGAATTGTGGAAAGGCCCCTTAAAATATTGCCCTGGGCTCCAAAAGATGTCAACACTCGCTTCCTCTTATATACTAATGAGAACCCAGACAACTTCCAAGTAAGAATGTTCATCAATTTTATGATGAAGTTCTATTTGTTTTATATAATAAAGATAGTGAACATTCAAGTCTTTTAAAGAGAACAAAGTGAACATGGAATCTGTATCTTTGTAGACTTTTGGGGCAGTGATCTTTAGTATAATTGCATGTAACTTGTTATAAAATGTCCATTGACTTCATATTATTTTAGCCCTATCTTCAGAGTGCCATTTAAAAAATATTCTTAATAGGAGGATATATTTTAAAACATATAAAATGATATATATACATATATGTATATATGTATGTGTAATATTACACATACATACACACACAAAAGGGGACTTAAAATATTCACTGAAAAAAATGGAATTAAAGTAGGAGTTTATATTGGTGCAAAAAAGTTTTGAAACCTATGCATGTTTTTCCATAATATACATTTTTCCATAAACTTTTGAAAACTCTCCTTGTATATCCTCTGACTCAGGTAGGCGGATAGATAGGTCGATTATGGACACACACAGATAAACACCCCGAGCTTCCACTCCACCAATCTCGTGGCAGACATATCATCCTGGGTGGAACAGCTGCAAACATCATGCAGTGCCTGGAAGTAGCAGCATGGTGATGACTGTAACTGGCTTGGTTGAAACAGGACAGTCCTTACTCATAAGGAGCTTGAATCCCAGTAGTCTTCTCTTTCCTGCGTCCACATACAAATGGTCCTACTGGATGTTAAATGAAACTTGACATGAAACACTTTCTCCCAAAACAGGAAATTGTGGCAGATCCATCAACTATCAGTGACTCCAATTTCAACAAAGACAGAAAAACTCGCTTTATTATTCACGGATTCATAGACAAGGGAGAAGAAAACTGGCTGGCCAATATGTGCAAGGTAAGACATGGTAATCTCATAAAGGAAGATGGTTTCAGAGTGCTAACTAGTAAGAACTGGCCCCAACCAATGAGGACAAACCCTTGTCACCATAGCACTGGGGCGGGGGGTCCCCTAACCCCTGCTGAGCCTGGGGTTCCCAGTCGAAATCTAGGAAGAGGGGATAGATGGAAGAAGTCTGCAGCAGTCATTTGGCAACTCCAGGCAAGGATCATTTAAAAACTAATACATAGGTATTATCATCAGGTGGTGTGGTAGTTAAGGTGCTGGATTCCCACATGGCCAGTCATGGTTTGAGTCCTGAACCTGGTTGCTTGATACTCATGCTGGGTGCATGTGTGTATGTGTGCGTGTGTGTGTGTGTGTGTGTGTGTGCCCAAAATTCCCAAAAGGAGAAGGGATTGTGGTGTGGCCATCCCCTTGGGAGGTGAGTTCTCACTATCTCTGTCTCTCCAGCAAGTGCACACCCTCTATAGCAAAAAATCTCTTTTTAGAAACAACAACAAACAAGAAACAAATACAGTGGTATTTCAAACTTTTAGTAAGAACAACTGCTGTACAGGGGCGTATCAGCTGATCATAGGTGCCTGTCTTTTTGATTAGCTTTTCATTTCACTGTGAAGAGCTAAGATAGCTCGTTTTTGCTGAACTAATTATCTTCCTTGGATTTTCACTTGCTATTCTTTGATCTCCTCTGGTAGTAGCACCTAGGAAAACTGTAGGTTACCCTTTGCAGTTTCCATTGTTTCCAAGAACAGCGACTCTTATTTTCTTTAGCTTTCTTTTAGCCATGTGCCTTGTGATAATGAAGAATTTAAAAAGACAGAAAATCAAATAGGATAAATTTCCCTAGTAACCGCTAGTGCTTGCAGAGCATTATTATTATTGATTCATTCATTCATGTGTTTATTTAGGCATTCATCACATTTCTGTGGCACAAAGGTGTAATCATTTCTTTAGAGCTGTCAAGAAGAAAAGACACCAAGGTCTTCCTAAACCCATTTGATTTCAGGCCTGTCTGTGACTCAAGCCAAAGGCTGAACTGAGTCACCTGCAGAGCCTGTTCCCTGATCACGAAGACAGATGAGCTCACTGGAGTCCATTTTCTTCACAAGTTTAAAAACAAATCAGTAAAAGCACGGCTTGTTTTCTAAAATAATTTAAACCTGATGATTATTGGGGAGATGCTAGTAATAGATTTCTGTATAGCAGTGAGAAAAAACATTGTGATTCTTAGCTCAAAAGGAATATAGGCTTTTTTTAAATAAATTTTTTTCCTTTTGTTATTTTTTTCCATTTCATTTTCTTCCATACATTCAATCATATTATTATTTGTCTTACAAAATGGATATTTAAACAGGTGAACATTTATCCAGGCTTTTTTTTTTTTTAAGATATGTGCATATAGTTTATTTCTAAAATCCCCAAAGCAGTTGCATTTTTCTTGTATTTTATTTGGCTTTGCCAACACTGCTGCATTGTGAAGGAGAAACAATGGGATTAAATGATCAGGTTAAAAGTTTTAGCTTCCAGTCCTCATTCCGCCGTTAGCTAGCCACGGCATCAGTGAAGTTGAACGGCTGGGTGAGCAGGTGACGTGGTGGTTAAGACATAGGACTCCCACTTGGCTGACTACAGTTTTAGTCCTGGACCTGGATGCTTGCTTTCTTTCCCTCTCACTTGCTCTCTCTTTCTGTCTCTTTTTGATGAGTGTACATGTCCTCTAGCAAATTAAATAATAATAAATTAATTAATTTAGTTAAATAAGTAATTCATTTTAAAAGGAAAGAAATGCAGTGTCCTGTGTGCAGTTTTATGCTGCCATCTAAGAGAGTCCACGCTGGATTCAGTTTGTCTTACTTAGGACAACCATTTTCTTGTTTTGATTTTTTTCCTTTGTAAACTTAAAAAAAAAAATTGGAGATGATTTCTAAGGTTGCTTAATTATTTTCAAGTTCTTTTTGGATACAGGTGAGGATATACATAAAACCACACTCGAACACACAAAATTCCTGCCAGAACTAACATTCATGAACATATAACCAACCTCCATCTTGTCATCTAGTAGATATTTAGTAGGTTCTGTCTATATGCAAAATAACTCTGCAGTGATTGGGACCAGCAGTTAGCATAATGGCTATGTCGCTGGACTCCCATGTAGTCAATCGCGGTTCGTGTCCCAGACACAGTGGCTTAAAACTCACGCTGGGTGCGTGTGCATGTGTGCCCAAGATCCTGAGAGGAGAGTGGAGGAGAAGGGACTGCAGCGTGGCCATACCCCCTGGGGGGGGTGATTTCTCACTTTCTATCTCTCTGTCTCTCTCTGTCTGTCTGGTGAGCGCACGCGCCCTATAGCAAAAACCTCTCAAAAAAAAAAAAATCTCTACAGTGATGTACAGTAAGATACTCACTCAAAAAACTCGTGTTCATCTATGCACAGTCTTCCATTCATTCAACATGTATGTACTGAGCACTAGGAACTGTTCTAGGCATTGAGGCTATACCAATGAACAAGTCAGGCAATGTCCTGGTATATTCTAGTGAGGGACAGAATAGACTCCCAGCATTCATTTTTCAAGAAGTATTTATTTTATTTTATTTATTATTTTTTAATTTGCTATAGAGTATGCACGATCATCAGAGAGACAGGGAGAGAGAGGAAGTGAGGAAGCAAATCACCAGCTCCAGGCCTAGAACCATGGCTGGCCATGTGGGAGTCCAGTACCTGAACCACTACGCCACCTGCTGCCCATCTCCTGACATTTTGGTGCTTTAATAAGACACCCATTGCACCACATTTTGCATATTTTTCTCTGAATTGAGTGTCTATGCATCTACTACAGCAGAAATCTCAGGAACCCAGTTCCCACTGGCTAGACCTCCAGTCTGGAACTATCTCCAAACTTTAGGAATGATTCCATATTCACAGCAGACGAGAGGTTTTATTCATTGCTTTCAGGTTAAAAGTGACATGATAATAGTGTAGAGTCAAAGAGGGCATTCATCCTGGTCCTCAAATATGTTGATTAATAACAAAGATCCTGATTATTTAACTACTTATTGTGTCTCCTCCACAGAATTTGTTTCAAGTAGAAAGTGTGAACTGTATCTGTGTGGACTGGAAAAGTGGCTCCCGAACTGGATACACACAGGCCTCACAGAACATCCGGATTGTGGGGGCAGAAGTGGCATATTTTGTTGAAGTTCTTCAGGTAACTACTTTCAGATTATAGAAGAACCCATGTAGATTGCCCTCTAAATTTTCTTTAAAAAAGAAAAAAAAACCATAGTTATGATCATTGATAAAGACCTTTACCTACTGTGATATGATTTTCTTTGTATTGAAAGAAAGTGATAAAAGAAATTCTAGAGAGACCAGCAGTTAGCATAATGGCTATGTTGCTGAACTCCCATGTAGTCGACCACGGTTCAAGTCCCGGACCTGGTGGCTTAAACTCACGCTGGGCACGTGTGCGTGCATGCCCAAGATCCCGAGAGGAGAATGGAGAAGAAGAGGTTGTGGTGTGGCCATCCCCCATGGGGGGTGATTTCTCGCTTTCTGTCTCTCTGTCTCTCTCTGTCTTTCTGGTGAGTGCACACGCCTTACAGGAAAAAAAAAAAAGGAAAAGAAATTCTAGAGGTGTCATCAACAATCCTACCTTGATCAATAAACTAGTTGGTTTTCAAGTGAATTTTTCCAAGCAACTATATAAGTTGTTTCTACCGAATTCCCCCAGTATTTGTTTTAGTTTATATTTTATTACCATGTTGACATGGCAATGCCAACCTCAATATTAAAGTACTTTTTAAATTTTGTTTTTTAAAGAGAAGCAGAATGATAACAAACTAACCTGAATTAGAAACTAAAATCAGAAAATGTTACACTTGAAAGTGCTGAAGTAACTGTCATCATTATCATTTTCTGATTCAAGTGCTCACTTCAGCTCGGCTGAGTAACAGCGCCTTATGGCTAGTAAGGGTTTTCCATATGTAGTGTAACAACAAAGTAGAGTCCTGCCTCCATCAGTTTAAAAAGAAAACCCATTTCCATTTCCATTACCAGTTTAACTGTGAAAAAGGCAAACAAAACAAAAGTAACGGCCAAAGAATCCCTATGAACATCAATTGCTTTAAACCAGCAGTATGTCTTCTTCAAACTCAAGTTTTTGGAAATTCCTTTCTAGTACCCATCTTGAATTCTACAATGCTTCAAAACATCCTAAAGAGGTTTTCTTTCTAACAGTCAGCATTTGAGTACTCGCCAGCCAGTGTCCACATCATCGGCCACAGCCTGGGTGCCCATGCTGCTGGCGAGGCTGGAAGGAGGATCAATGGGACTATTGGACGAATCACAGGTTAGTTGAAGCAGTGAGTGTTGCTCAGTTACACTAAATGTAGCCTTTATGTGATTTAGAACAAAACAGTATGGAAATGTGGTGCAGCTCTTATTTTGCCTTTTCACATTTTCTGAATTGTCCCTCACAATCAGAAATGATTAAGTTAATGGGTTTTATGCATTTTTATTGATATTCATCTTTGGTCTACAGAACCCTGTTTAACATATAAATGTATTGCATATTAAATTTTTACATATAAATATTTAGCATATAAATACGATGTGAATGTGAATAAAGAACAACTGGAGATCTTAGAGTATCTATTTCTCCATTGTCAAGTCTTCACAAAGGACAAGTTTCATGAACAGAGTAAATACTATAAAGGATAGAATAAATTCAGTTTAACCAAAGTGCTCAAATTTGTACAATTACTAACATTCTTCCATAGCCATTATTAATGAACTCAAACCTTACTAACTACAACCTCAGAGTTGAGGGCAGCGGGGCATATGGTCAGCCTGCCCTGGGCTGCCAGATATGCATGCTGCTATTTAGATTAGAAATACATACATTATTTTCCAAACATTGGACTGGCTGCGTATGGCCAGGGAGGGTCCACATTAAAATAACCTTGTAAAAATAATCCTGTAACCTTAGAAGAAAGCCTTTGCTAACCCAGATCTGACTATTTCAGGGAATGACCACTTTCCTCTTCTATCTTCCAACTTTCTGTCTCTGAATTGGAGATTCTCATTTTAATATTTTAAATAAGTTGGTTACATGTGGAATAGTGGAAGCATCCAGAATGTCTGTCCATTCGTTGCTAAGGGGAAGTTCTACATGGATTCCCATAAACTGTAAATGCTTACCAGCTCCTTCTCAAGCAGGTGCAGCATGATGCAAAGTTGTGATCTCAGCAACCATGAAAGACAAGGTCCTGTTGCTCCCATCACAGTTAACAGTCCAGTGGGAACTGCCATATCCTGAGCAGCTTTCAGTCCAGGACTTTCAGAGTCTAGCTCTTTTCTTATAACTGCTACTAGTGACCAAGACTCTCCCAGTGATTTAGCATATCCCTAAGTTAAAGAAGTTCCATAATTTTGAAAAAAAAAAAAAAAAAAAAAAAAAAAAAAAAAAAAAAAAAAAAAAAAAAAAAAAGTCACCTTTTTCAAATAGCAAACTAGAGACAGATTTCCCTTTAGGGAGCGATAAGGTAAGGAAGAACTCATCTGCCCCTTCCCATGCATCATCTGTGATTATAGCCCATGCTGACATGCGAGTGCTAATGAGGAGAGGCAAAGGTGCAGGAACACTGAGGGAGCTAATGACACATCACATGTCCTTCAGGGTTGGATCCAGCTGAGCCCTGCTTTGAAGGCACACCTGAATTAGTCCGACTGGATCCCAGCGATGCCCAATTTGTGGATGTAATTCACACAGACGGTGCCCCCATCATTCCCAACTTGGGTGAGTTCCTCAGTTGTCCTCCTAGAAGGTTTCTGAGTCCCTATGTTAGAGTGATTTAGAGTGTCTCGAGTCTATACATTAATACAAGCCTTCCTTTTTTTAAAAATTCTTCAGGGTTTGGAATGAGCCAATCTGCAGGTCACCTAGATTTCTTTCCAAATGGAGGAATAGAAATGCCCGGATGTCAGAAGAACATTCTCTCTCAGATTGTTGACATAGATGGCATCTGGGAAGGTAAAATCATTATGTGTATGGAGATTTTCTTGGGGGAAAATTTGTGTTTTCTTTTCCTAAACTTGCTAACTGCTTCGGAATGATGCCTATTTGACATTTTATATTTATTTTTTAATTTTTAAATTTTTAAAAAAGTTTTTGTTTCTTTGATGAGAATGAGAGACAAAGAAAGAGAAAAATATAAGCACCCTCAATGGAGTCTCTCATCACAATTCCCCCAACCTTCCCAGCTAGCCAGGATTATGCCTGACATGTACAAGTTGAGCAGGGAACCAAACTCATGGATCCACCATCACAGAGCAGTGTGTTACCAGGGTGCTACCATGGCTAGCTGCTCTCACATTTTATGTAACAAAGAACTTCTGATTAAACCCCTGAGATACAGGTTTTCATTGAGCGAAGTGGCCCTGAGGAGACTGTGTGAAAGAAAATGTATTTGCAGTTGACTTTTCAAGGATCTGATTTAAGGAATATATTATTAAATTACACTTACATCTATAGAGACCAATCTTTCTCCGGTTATTATTTCATTTTATTTAGTACGACATTAACTGTTGTAATCTTAAAGAAAACTTCTAATTGCATCACAAGTCATAAATACCCTTCATAAATTATTTTGTCCTGTGGATCCATGAGCTCCTACTGCCTAGTGAAAGCTATTCAACAACTATATTCTGATTATGAGGTTCACTTGAAAAAAGAAGATCTGTCACTGATGCAGAACTACGTCTGATTTCAAAGGGACTCGTGACTTTGTGGCCTGTAACCACTTAAGAAGCTACAAGTACTACACGGATAGCATCCTGAACCCTGATGGTTTCGCCGGATTCCCGTGTTCCTCTTACAGTGTTTTCACTGCAGTGAGTAGCCTCCATCTTCCACTTAAGGAATTTCATGACTGTCCCAGGTTGTGACTGGTGTGGTTTACTGTACATAACATCCTTCAACATTTATACTTCCATACTTATGTCTATTTTTAATCATAGATACATACTTTAATAGCAATAAATATTAGAGGACTTAGGGACATCGGCTTGTAAACCGAAATATCTCATGTCTGCCTTGGTCTCGACCACTTCTTTATGCACCAGGTAAATGTTCAAGCTTGTTTTAGAAATAATCTTAACCAAACAAAGGGAAAAAACTGGTCTATGGAAATCTGAGCTATTGTCTGTAAAATACTGATGCACCTGGACATTGTTTTCTTAAATACTGACCTTTTAAAACTATATAATTTGCAGAACCAGCAGATGGCATAATGGTTATGTCGATGGACTCCCATGTAGCCATCCGTGGTTTGAATCCTGGACCCGGTGGCTTAAACTCAAGCTCAGCACGTGTGTGTGCATGCCCAAGATCCTAAGAGGAGAATGGAGGAGAAGGGATTGCAGCATGGCCATCCCCGCTAGGGAGTGATTTCTCACCTTTTGTCTCTCTGTCTCTCTCTGTGTTTCTGGTGAGCACACATGCCCTATAGCAAAAACCTCTCCCCCACAAAAAATTATATAATTTGGGGAGAACCAACAGATGGTATAATGGTTATGTTGCTGGATTCCCACATAGTTGACCATGGTTCAAGTCCTGGATCCAGTGACTTAAAATTCACATTAGGCACATGTGCATGCATGCCCAAAACACTGAGAGGAGACTGCAGAAGAAGGGATTGCAGAGTGGCCATCTCCCTTGGGTGGTGATTTCTTGCTTTCTGTCTCTCTCGTGACCACATGTGCCCTATAGCAAAAATTGCTCTAAAAAACAAACAAACAAACAAACAAAAAACTATATACTTTTGGACATATAATCTCCATGCAGTGTCATAACTGCCAAGATTTATTTGTGTTTCCATTTTGTTTAGTATTCTCTACATATCTACATTAAATTCTGATATGTGATCTTGAACATATATCTATTGCCTGTTATTTATAATAAAATTAACTTTTCATTCTAAATTTTTTAAAATAAAGATTTATAACATATGCCATTTAATAAGTAAATATTTTTAGAGAAAGATTTTTGCTATAGGGCATGTATGCTTGCCAGAGAGACAGAGAGCCGGAGTGCGAGAAACCACACCCTCCCAGGGAGAGAATGACCATGCTGCAATCCCTTCTTCTCTGTTTTCCTCTCGGGATCTTGCTCACATGCGCACAAGCACTTTATGTGAGTTTTAAGCCACTGGGTCCAGGACTCGAACTGCAGTCGGCTACTTGGGAGTCCAACAACATAACCATTATGTCATCCACTGACCTCAGTAAATTTTAATTGATGTATGTGCCAGGTGAAGCAATACTACCAAGGAGATACACAAAGAATCTTCTGAAAGTTCATGGAAAATGCATGTTATATATATATATAAAAACTATGCATGGATTTCAGAGGGGTTGTTTGTGTGTATGTGTGTGTGTGTGTGTGTGTGTGTGTATACACCTTGTAATCTAATGCCATTTTCCACAAACTTTTTGAAGTCTCCTGGTATGCTATTGCTGAAGAGAGAGGACTGGAATACTGGTTTCACCATTAAACAGCTGAATGACTTGGCAAATTATTTCACTTCTCTAAGGCAGTTTCTTTGTTTGCAAAAGTAAATAATAAAAGGGTAGACTCAACCTAATTGGTGGGAGAACTTAATGAGAAGAATGTTAACTGCTTAGCTCAGAGTCAAAAACATACTAATTATGCAACAGGTGCTAGCTTTTCTGAGAGAGGAGTTCGGGATTTATTCACACTAAAGATTGCACATACAATAAGAACAGAAAACTCACCCTTTTTTTTCCCCAAAAGATTTTACTATTTTTGTCTTCTTCTGGAATATCTGTTCTTTAGGTAATGGTGGAAGCAAACCAATAAAAAGCTTTAGATCACGTCTGGTTAAAACTTCATCTCCTTCAGTAACATAAACAATCCATGAGGTGATGCTTACTTCTGTAGTAAGAAAAAAGATCTATCTTTCAGACTGCTCCACCTTTGGACCCTTATCTCAGCTTCTCTCTAAGCTGATTCTGGGCAAGTTGTTCACATTAGCGGTGGACAGTGTGTGTGTTCTCAGAAGGAATGGCGTGGAGGCCCACTGGGACAGGGTGTTTTGGCTGCTTAGACTCTGGGCTCTTTGTCTTTCCAATGAAGAGCACTCTGCTAAGACTTGTGACGAAGTCTGCGGCTCATCTACTCTTCTGGCTCAGGCGATGCCCTCAGAGACCATTGGCCATTTTCTCCTGGCTTATCAGTCTCTCCTTAGCGTTTGCTGGCTGCGGACTCTGAGATTCCGTTGAGCCTACTGTCCGGTCACCCATCAGTAGTCCACCCCTTGCCTTAACTGTCCATCCTTTCTCCCTCCAGAGTGGAAACTGGAATCATGGTCCTCCCAACTCTGCTCCTCCATTTCCACCTCTTCTACCACAATGCCTTGGTCTAGGAAGAGGAGATTTTTTTCAGTATTAAATTTATCTTCTCTAGACCCAGCCTCATACATAGTTAAGCCTTACTGGCGAGCTCAGGCATTTTCTCTGCACTTAAGGAGAAATTCAGGATCTGCATCCTTCAGGCTTTGATGTGCAAAATAGTAGTGAAGGGATGGAGGAAAGCCTGACTTTTGAGGCTTTAGTCCTCCTAATGATACTATTTTGCATATTAGGAGCATATTATCATCTCCTGTTCTTTTTTATTCACTCTTTTAAAAATAAATTCTAACTACCCTGCAGGTGGATGAATATCCTGGGGCAACTTAGAGACTCAAAAGAGTCTCCTTATCCCCACTTTGACGTACCATTCCAGTTTCAGTTACCTGCAGTCACCCAAGGTCTGAAAATAAGCAAGCATTTTATATATATATACACACACACACACACACACACACACACACACAGAGGAAACAGCCTGGTATCTATAGGGTTTGATATTCAAGAGTTTCAGGCATTCTTTAGGGCTCTTGGAACCTATCTTCCATGGAAACAGGGAAACTACTACATATAAATATTCACATTGAGTGATTTTTTTAAAGTATGGCGCTATTTAACAGTGAAATTGCTAATTTATCATTGTGAATAATGAGACATGTCATTAGCCTTTGCTGAGACTCTGTGAAAGTCCCCTTTACCATCTGAACAGAATTTACTTTCAAATATTTGAATTGCAATATGTGGGAAAGGATGGTACACATTAAAAGAAAGAACATTTCCATTTATCATTTGTTTTCCCTAGAACAAGTGCTTCCCCTGTCCAAGTGAAGGCTGCCCGCAGATGGGTCATTATGCTGATAGATTTCCCGGGAAAACTGCTGGAGAGGGCCAGAAATTTTATCTGAACACTGGTGATGCCAGTAATTTTGCCCGTAAGTTTGTACTTTATTTACCTTAAATTTTCTTTTTCTTTCTTTTTTTTTTGAGAGGTTTGAGAGGCTTTTGCTATAGGGCACGTGCGCTCGCCAGACAAACAGAGAGAGACAAAGAGACAGAAAGCGAGAAATCACCCCCCGGGGGGGGGGGATGGCCACGCTGCAATCCCTTCTCCATTCTTCTCTTGGGATCTTAGGTATGCACGCACATGTGCCCAGCGTGAGCTTTAAGCCACCGGGTCCAGGACGAGAACTGCAGTCTACTACATGGGAGTCCAGCTCATAGCCATTACGCTAACTGCTGGTCCCTACCTTAAATTTTCAATGCTATGTATTTTATCACGTCCACTGAAAGTGTATGAAATTATTTTTCTGTACAAAACCTTTAAACACCCCAGTCCAATGTGGAAAAATGGTCCATGTCATCCTCTAGGTAATCGTGGTTAATTAATGGAGCTTGGGGGCCTGAATTCTTAATGGTACAGTTGAAAATTCCTTACCTTTAATTATGGTGTGGAATTTAGAAAGCTTCCTCTCTGTTTCAAACTCTTTGCACTCAGTCCAAAATTTCACTGAGCAGAATTCTGAGATTTTGTACAACCATAAAAGGAATCCAGAGCGAAGAGATGGCAGAAGTTGTAGGAAGGAGAAGCGCTGACAGATTCTGGAAAGATTTAGGGCTGTCGATTAGGGTATTTGGATCAGGTTGTAGAAATTAGAGAATGTAGATATGGGAGACATAGGGACAGGCTCCAAGTTCTTCCTGGATAACAGAGGAAGAAAACACTTGGGAAGGGAATCCACAGGATTAATGGTTCTGCAAAAACGAAAGAAAAATGTTATTGCCTCTCCAATTTGGCCCAGGCGAGCTCTAAGCAAAAGCTACCAGTTTGCTATTGACTAGTACCAAGACAACTTTCTTTTGGTTTTTAGTGTCTATTCTCTACAAGTTGATATTTTGCAAATTATGTTTCCAAACAGGCTGGCGGTACCAGGTAGCCGTCACGTTGTCTGGGAGGAAGGTTACGGGACACGTGCTGGTTTCTTTGTTTGGAAGTAAAGGCAACACTAAGCAGTATGAAATTTTCAAGTGAGTAAAATGCTACTCTAAGCTTTTTCAATGTTGGAATATTGCACTTATGTAAAATGTATGTTATCAACACATGAATTTATCGCTGTTACATATAATAAAAAAAGAAGAAACTGTTTCACCCTTGTACCCTAATACACTTCAGAATCCGTTTTCTAAATTTTCTCTCTGCTATTTCTTAAAGCCATGAACATTTACCTTGATATCTCGTATCTGATTTATAATCAGAAAAGAATCATTCTGCACACAAAACAGCTGAGGAAAGATGACATAGTGATGGCATCGTTTATTAAAAGTGTATATAGGGGATTGTGACTAAAACAGGCTTGAAGTTTGATTAAAGTAAAGATGACTTCTAAGTTACATTCGTCATTGATGGCAAATGAACTACCGCTGAGTTAACGTACATGTCTGAGTTTATTTAATACATTAGAATGACAAATGCACTTTAAGCTCTAGAAACACTGTAGAAACACATACATGTATGTATATATTCATATTTCTGTTTATTTGGGTGTGTATTTAGGTATGTTCACAAATATTTGTGTTAACCTCTTAACTCCCAAGGGGCACTCTCCGACCAGACAGCACTCATTCCAATGAGTTTGACTCAGACGTGGATGTCGGGGACGTGCAGATGGTTAAATTTGTTTGGTACAACAATGTGATCAACCCAACTCTACCCAGAGTGGGAGCATCGAAGATCACGGTGGAAAGAAACGATGGACAAGTGTAAGTAATCAGATGTGAAGGGCTGTTTCCTCATGTTTTTTGTTTCTTTAAGAGAAAGTGTAGAACTTCAGGAAAACAGCTTTGATAGATTTGTCAGTAAGTGTTGTGTTCTCTGATTCATAATAAGTATTAGAATTACAAACTGGCTTCACCATCCTTAGGTGAAAAATGTTTCGCATGGCAGCAATGCCTGGTGCTGTGTGTGTTCTTAATGTGTGCATCTTCCCCAAACTTCCTGGGTTAACCAAATTGCCAGGCTAATTGCCCGAAGTACACTTGTCAAGGGATAGAAATAAACCGTTCTGTGTTCCTGGATGTCTTAGCAAAAACAAAGGTCCAGAAGACCAAGTCATGGTTCTAACCGAGACTGCAGCATAGTGAACTAAAGGACGTTGACCTTGGTACACTACAAGAAAAGGTGAACTAATATAGTCATGGTGACTCCAGTATCAGCCCAAACATTTTTCTGTAGCAAGCCAAGCTCTGAGGCATAGCTCTGTGCTTCTATCATCATGCTATTCGGTGTGCATAAAAACCCCATGTGGGGACTCTTGTTGGTAGCAAAGATGAAATAACAGAGATCATATTTACTTCCCAGCTGAAAGAAACAAAAATTCAGGCACTGTATATAAAACTATAGTTGTCCAGACACTGAACATCAAGGAGTAAAGCACAGTGACCCTCAAGGAACAAAACGCAAACAAAAGGAAGCCCTATAGTCACCGCTCATTCTGCCTTGAGTCTCCAGGATTCAGCACAGGTTGGAGAAATTCAGGCAGAGCCCAGTGAAATCTGTAAGTTGAAGAAACAGAGCTACGAATCAGAAAATGTGAGGCAACTAGATGTCACAGGACAATGTACAAGATAGGAGAGGACTGCAGAAGGAGATTCCTGGAGATCTGGACAGCCCCTTTGACTATCCAACAGAGTACTGACCAGCATGCATGTATGATCCAACTAGTCCAGACCAGTGAAATATCTATTTGAAAGGTTTAGAGAGAACAGTGCCCAGACCTTGTACAGGGCTAGTAATACTTTGTCTCCACCAACCAGACTGGAAAATTGGAGTTCCAGGAACTTTGGGTAAACTATTTAGTAAGGTCTTGCCTCATAGTGGGGAATAATTAGCCTAGACTGACCATGATCTGCAATGGTCAAATTACTTTCAAACAACTTATTGCATCTCAGAATAAAGCTCAAGAAGATTTATAGGCATCCAAAATTTTCTACAGCTAACAAACTCAAATCCAAAACCGACTTTAACTCAAAAATTCTCAGGTATATAAACAAGTAAGACAGCACAAACTACACTGAGGGGAATAGTGTCACTTAATTGGCACCAAATTAAGACCAACGAAGATGTCAGAATAGCAAACAAGGACATTAAAACAACTATTAAACCTATATTTCATTTGTTAAAAAGGTCAGTAGATACATGGCATTCCTAGAATTTCTGGAGATGAAAGAAAACAATGCCTCCAATAAAAAAATGCAGTGAATGAAATTAACAGCAGATTAGTTATTGGAGATGAAAAGATGAGTGAGCTGAAAGACATAAAAGAAACCATCCAAAATGAAACACAGAAAGAAAAAAAGAATTTTAAAAATGAAAAGAACAGCGCTGACCTCTGGACTTCAAGAAAGCTAATTTACTTGTGTTTGAAGACCCCTAAGGAGGAGAAACAGAAAAATATATATGAAGACACAATGGTTACAGCATTCTCAACCTTCGTGAAAATTATAAGCCAACAGAAGAACAGTATTTGCTCGTGGAGAAGGAAGATGGGATGGGATTGAAAGGAGGAATCATGAAGAGGAAGGAAGGAAATTTGAGATGCTAGATCTGTTCACTTCCTTGATTTGGGTAACAGTTTCAGAGATGTCTGTGCGCATGCTTGTGTGTGTGTGTGTGTGTGTGCGTGTGCGTGTGCGTGTGTGAAAACCTATCAACTTAAGTATGTGCAGTTTATTCTAGATCAATTAAAGCACACTAAAGCTGTTAAAATGAAAAGGTATACCCTACGAAATCGGTACCGCTATTGCTCCATTTGACAGATAACTAAATGCAGTTTCAGTACCAGAATTCACAGGCAGGAAGTTTGACTCCAGCAAATCCCTAACCACCACAGAAAAAATTCAGTCCACCTTCATTCGCGTATAGATATTATACACCCTTCACTTCTCATGTCTTTTATTAATGTTAGTTCTAACCATTAATTTGCCATTCGTGAGGCTGCCAGCTATCGAACCACACGGAAGAAAGTGAAGGTGAAGAGTAAAAAGCATTTGTGCGCACTTTTTACGTGCCAGGCACTTTACATATGCTAATATATTTTATTAAAGGAAATTAGCTCCCAAGCATCCCAAGTATTGTTCCATCCTAATGAGGAAAATGAGTCATTTCAATTCAATTATGAATTAAAATAAGAATGGTTAGTCAATGCAACACCTGGACCTCTGAATTCCGCCAGAGGGCTGATTTCTTGTCATGCAGTTCCTTTGCTGTTCCTCAGTTGGGTTAGTTAACATGTATGTTTAGTGACTGCTTTGAGAGCGTGACAAATGACCCTTCCTCTTTCCTGTTCTTTGGGGTGTCCACAGACAGCTGCTCTCTGCTACTGCACTGACATAAAACAAAACTGCTAAAGAGGATTCATCTAGAAGATGCCTTCCCTTGGCCAATGTCTGGTCTCAGGCATAGGGTGTGCCCTTCACTCAACCTGAGGGGGAAGACAGAGGCTATTACTAATCTACCAGATGTGTGCCAAGAAGAGATAACGTTTTGGTGTCTTATCTCCACAGGTTCAACTTCTGTAGCCTAGAAACCGTGAGGGAGGACGTTCTGCTCACTCTTAAGCCATGCTAGGAGGCTGTTGATGTGTGGTCATTGACTCTTACTGCTAATAAAACCTAGTGGCGAAGTAATACATTCCTTCCTTTTGTCATCCGTGTCCATTATTTCCAATGAAACTTTTGGAAAAGGTGACTGAAATCCAAAATCTGGAGTTGGTCTGAGGAACCACAAAGGACTGCTGAATTTTACTACATTTAAAAACTTGTGTGACTTGTGAACCTTAAATCCTCTTTGCACGATGCTGTCATCATGTCCATTATTAATATGATGGCATTCTGATCACGTAAGGCAGACTTCCAGGTCCCAACTGACCCACTTTTGGTAGGTCTGCATGGAAAGTACCAACCTTTCCTACTTTTTCCATCATGTTTAAGTTCAGTCATCTCAGGAGAAGTGATACACAAGAAGATGAGGACTGGATGGATGGATAGATCCAGTGCTTCTGAACTGGTCTCCACACTCTCAGCGGGATTCCCCCAGACCTCTGCCTTCTCTGCAGCTCTCTCTCTCTCTCTCTCTCTCTATATATATATATATAATTGCTAGAAGGTGTGTGTGTTCTCCAGAGAGATGATGGAGAGACAGAGAGGGGAAGAAAGCACCCCCCACCCCCCACCCCCAGTATTTATACTGCAATCTATCTCTTCTCCATTTCTCCATCCATTGAGATTGAATGTTTGCTCTTTCTAAAGCACCAATCAACATCTTCCTGATGGTCCCCAAGACAGAATCCACATTTTTAGTGAGCCTTCCAATATCTCTCTTGGTCTGGTTTTCACTGGAGACACCAGCCTCATCTCTCACCACATTTCTTCTGACACTCTACATTCTCTCAAGATGGCCTTGAGCTCAGATACACATAAATGTTTGTGTAAACTCTTGCCTTCCTGGGATGTTGCTTTCCCTGTCTTCCTGTCTACTCTTGCTAGTTCTTAAGTCTCTATGTAGACATCCCTGCATTCTCATCTCCATTACTCATATCCCTAAGACTGGATTAGAGGCTCCCCCAGTGTCATACCTCCCCCTTGCACCCAGGACTTCCTTCATTTCAATACTTGTTTTCCATATTTTAATTGCTGGTTCATTTATCTGCATATTCCATTTATATACCACCTAAGGGGTTTGCATGTGTGTGCCTGGCACATGACTGGCATGTAGGAAAAGAACAAAAAAATATTTTTTCAATGACCATTTCACTAATGGAAAAAGTGAATGCATTCACTGGAATCAGCTATTTAAAATCAGACCATATACAAATGATAACATCCTCAAAGAGAAAGACATTTGTGTTAGGTTTTAAAAGGATTTACCAAGAGGACATGGTGGAAGGACACTTAAGGGCAAG